AAAAACGGCAGGCTCCTCTATTCAAACTTTAACTATCATGTGTTCCTTAAATTCATTTGAGAAAGACAGAATCTACACTGAAGTCCTTTTTTGGTGAGCTCAGAAGCTTTTATCTAGTAATTTCTTGTAACTGTCCAGTACAGATTTTTAACATACTTAAAACTCAGGTTAGTCAGAGGTCAACTGTGGGCTTCACTGTAACATTTTATAAAATGTATTTCTTCCTCCCAAAAAACAGTGGTTAGATGCCAGGAAGTAGGTGGCAATGCCTTAACCTTATGTGTGTTGTCAGGCCCAAGGGCCTCTTCTATCCTTGTCAAGGGGAGTGCTAACCTTCTCTCCTTTCATGCAACATGGGTGTTAGTTTTTCTTTAAATGTTTGGTGCACTTTACCAGTGAAGCCATTAGACCCAGGATTTTTCTTTGGTTGCTCAACATTGGGAATATAATTCCCAATGAATTGTACACAAAAATGGGTAAAGTGCCTGTTCTTTATTGAATGGTCTTAGCAGCGTTGTTGAAATCATTTGGCTGTGTATGTGAGACTTTATTTCTGGGTTCTTTATTTAATTCTGTTTGTTTGTATGCCTATCTTTATGCCAATACAGTTTTGATTACTGTAGCTTTGCAGTAAGTTTTGAACTCTAGAAGTTTGAATCCTCCAACTTCATTTCTTATTTTATTTTTCTTAATAGAAACAGTGTCTTGCTATGTTGCCCATGTTGGTCTTGGTCTTAAACTCCTGAGCTCAGGTGATCCTCTTGCCTTGGCTGGGATTGTGGGCATGAGCCACCATGCTCTGACCAAATTTATTCTTTTTGTTTGTTTGTTTGAGACAGAATCTCGCTCTGTCACCCAGGCTGGGGTGCAGTGGTGCGATCTAAGCTTACTGCAACCTCCACCTCCCCGGTTCAAGCAATTCTCCTGCCTCAGCCTCTCAAGTAACGGGGACTGCAGGTGCCCACCACCACACCTAGCTAATTTTTATATTTTTAGAGAGACGAGATTTCACCATGTTAGCCAGGACGATCTCTATCTCCTGACCTCGTGATCCGCCTGCCTTGGTCTCCCAAAGTGCTGGGATTATAGGCATGAGCCACTGTACCTGGCCTGTTCTTTATTTTCAAAATTTAAAAAAAATTATTCGGAAACCATTGCAATTCCTTATAAATTTGAGGATCACTCTTCCATTTCTGCAAAAAAAAAAAAAAAAAAAGGGAGTGTTGATTGGAATTTAAATAGAGGTTGCCTCGTATCTCTAGATTGCTTTAGGTAGCATTGACATCTTAACGATATGAAGCCTTCTTACTCATGTACACAAGATATCTTTCTACTTATTTAGTTCTTTAATTACTTGCAGCAATGTTTTGTAGTTTTCAGTCTGCAAAAAATTTTATCTCCTTATTTAAATCTATTCCTAGGTATTTAAAAGTTTTTACGTGCTATTGTAAGTGGAATTGCTTTCTTTATTCCATTTTAGATTATTTCTTACAGGTATATAGAAACAAAACCAATTTTTTTTTAATTGCATTTTAGGTTTTGGGGTATATGTGAAGAACATGCAAGATTGTTGCATAGGTACACTCATGGACAAAACTGATTTTTATGTATTGATTGTGTATTCTACCACTTTGCTGAACCATTTTTCAGCTGTAGTAGCGTTCTTGTGGATTCCTTGGAATTTTCTATATATAGGATCGTGTCATTTGTGGATAGAGTTTTCGTTCTTCCTTTCCAAATGAGATATCTTTTATTCCTTTTTCTTGTCTAGTTGCTCTGGCTAGAACTTTAGTACAGTGTTGAATATTGGTGGTGAAAGTGGACACCCTTGTCTCATTTGGGTTTTAATGGAAAGGCTTTTAGTTTTTCACCATTGAGTATGAGGATAGCTGTGAGTTTCTCATGAGTGCTTTTAATTGTGTTGAGGAAATTTCCTTTTATGCTTAGTTTTCTGAGTGGTTTTATTATGAAAAGAAGTTAGAGTTTGTCAAACATATTTTTTGCATTGATATGATTATGTGCTTTTTTCTCTTTGTGTGTGTGTGTGTGTGTGTGTGTGTGTGTGTGTGT